AGGCGAACTCTCTCCTTAGGGGCTCAGTTCATCTCATCGCAGAACCTCGCATGACCGTGATCCGTCCGCGAACTTTGTTTATACTATGGCGGAGGGATCGGGATCATGTGAACTCGGTGGACTTAGACTAGCCCCGTCAGGTCAGATCATCTCACCTGACGGAAAGTTTACTACGGGCCTGTTACTGCAGCAAAAATTTTTTTACTGCTTACAAACTTTCCATTATTTCTTTGTGAAGCTTACATCTGATATAAGATGTCTTTTTCTAGCGTGTAGTTATTTACCTGCTTTTGCGGGGTAGGGCAGGACTCCTTCAAGCAAGGGAAAATGTAGGTGGAAACCGTCAAACCAGCTGAAACATTACTGAGATTTGATAATCTTATGAGAAAGTTAAAGAAAAACAATAGATAATAGATAGTTTTATTGTTATACAACAAGAAGCTGACCCGCATTAGCATTCTTGATGTTCTGAATGCCAGTTTCATCGTAACTTCCATAACTTTTCCATATTCTAGCTATGTAGAAATGAAAATCATGTTGTTTCAGACAGATGAAGGCACACCGTGATAATGGCTGAAAACAAGTTTTTGCAAGACAAATTCTTTCATCAAAAAACTAGAAGAGGTTAAATGAATCGTAATTAGCAAGTTTCTCCTCTTTAATATTGCTTCCGAGCCTGCACAATCTTAACAAAAAAAGAGTACGCTATCAAAGAGATAGTTCAGAATTTATAAAGACAAAAATCTTGTTGCTGAATATAAATAAAGTCAATTTAAATAATGTTACTGACCTGTACAGAATCGAACCCAAGAGTGGCGATTGCAGTGTTAAAGAGGGCTGTCAAAAGAGCAGCGCAGCGAAAATAGCTCTATTTTAGATGTAAAAAAATAAGAATATTCTAAAACTTACAACATTTTCTAATAGCAGACAAGGTTCTAAAGCTGGCGACCTCTAAATGTCAGATGCGTGTAAAGAATAGAAGAAAGTATGTTTTTAGAGAGATTGAATATAGCTATTGTCTGATCTTTTGCAATATCTAAATTGAGAGTAAATTGCTTATTGCTGTTCATTGTAATAAAATAACAATAAGAGCTGAAAACAGATGGATTTCGTTTTTTCACTTTCATTAAAAGAGAAGTTAAATTTCAGAATTGTCCACTCAAAGATCAGGTATGGGAGATCGAGCAGCAAAACGAAGACTTAATTCAAAGCAAGAGAAAAATAATATTGTTGATGGAGGGAGCCACACTCTTTTGCTCATATCATTTGTCCTCACAATTTATATCATATTATGTAATTTCTGGCTAGCTCTTCAATCCGGCAAACATTCCAAGTTTTTTCAAGCACGATAATAACGGTAGGACAGACTTGCATTTGATTTCTTGAATAAAAGTCTAGTTCTTTCACGTTGAGCAAAAGATCCTTTCTAACAGAGTGGTGACTCCATAATTCTGTGCAATTCTTGATTTGGAGCCCCTCAGGATCTTCTTTACCACCTATAACTAATTATAAATTTGTGTAGAAATACAGAATTTACTTTGGTTTTTCACACAACGCACAGCAAACGAGGGATTTAGTAGTGTCAAATGGTCTCAAACAACAATAAGAAAGAGTAGTACATTGAGTTGAATGATAAAAGAATAACATTAAAGGAGCAACATTGAAGTTAGACTGAATTCAGCACATACAAGGCCCAATAACGAAGAAAATGGTGCGTTCTATAGCAAAGTTGAGGGTGGCACCCGGTTTTGCCTAGAGTTTCTTGCGCTGGAACCTTTTCTTTTCATCTTCTGATTCATGATTAGCAATATTAGTCAACAAATAGTGAATTGAAGGCGAAGTCTTCTTAGCGGTGTTCGTGAATGTCATCTTTAGCCTCTGAAGTTTTTTCGACATCAGTCATGTGCGTAATAAATCATTATGTCGTATAAATTACGCATTGAGATTCATTAGATTTTGCAAACAACAAAAAGCTTCTAATGCACAGATCGTAAAGGATACCGGGATGATTAGTCATAACTACTTTTTCGGATTGTTTCAATCAAAGACACCTTGCTAACTATTTTAGCGAACTCACCAAAACTAGTACGTATAATTCTGGAGAGGGTTTAGTCATCTATTTGTTGAGAAGATATAAAAAGAAATTTTGACGAATGAACCATTTGCAACCTTCAACCGGTTTTGTCTATTCCTTGATTCTTTCTCTTTAATGCTTTTTAGGATGGAAAAATTCGTTGTCTCAATTGGACAAGCAGTCGCCACAATCCACGAAAACGTTAGGGTTGAGAT